GGGCGGTGCTTTTAGATGGGAATTGTCATCTGGGATTGTCTTTATAAGTTTATATATATATTTTGCAGGCAAGGGTGTTGATTGCTATCCTGGTTGGTCATTGTCCCGTCGTTTGCCCTGTGACGTAAGGGGCGTTGCTTGCATGTGGGACTTGTCATCTAGGATCTGTTATGTTTGTTTTTTGGCACCCTTGTCTGCATCCCGGTTGGTGTTGTCCCGTTGTTCGGTCTATTTTGGTGAGCGTAGCGGTGCTTTCGTGTGGGACAAGTCATCCGTTTTTTTCTGTTGTTCGGCCTATGAGAGCATGAATGGTTTAGGAATGGGAATACCGACGTCTTGATGACGAATAAGGCCATCTGCTGTATATAGTTTTTTTTTGCAGACAAGAGTTTTGTCCTGGGTGGTCTTGTCCCGTCGTTTGGCCTGTGAAGGAGGGCGGTGCTTGCATGTGGGACTTGTCATCTAGGATCCGTTTTTGGTGCTGTTACTTGTTGCCCCCGGTTTTGTTGTATTTGGCTGTTCCTTTCCTCTTTTCTTTGGCTCTTTGCCCTTTGGCTGTGTGCAAGTGGGTCGACATGACACACGGGGGTGGGGGCAGCCGCCGCTCAACCTACATCCACGTGGGCGGTCTTATACGCAAGAGGTTCTGAACAGGGGGAGTTGTAAGTAAGAAGATAAAAAATGAATTGATATCTTTTTTGTTTCCTTTTGTTTTTTTCGCTTTTGTGCTCTGATAACTTTGTGACAATATATTGTCACAGCCCCTCATTTGTTGTCCTCTTCTCCCTCTCTGCCTACGGTTTACCGGGCAGTTCTATTTGACGATATATACAATAGATATAAGATATTAAGTACAATAGATAATTTTGAATATAATACAATCTAGAATAGATAGATTCTATCTATTCTAACCGCTAGCTTGAACTACGCCATGCTCTACCAGGTGAGTTGTTTAATCCTCCATCCCACATCTCTGCCTGCATTGCGCACGGGCCTGGCCATTACATGGCTATTGTACACGCCTCTGACCATTGGGAGGTGTGGAACGACGGTGTCATGGTCCATGCCATGATTGATATTACTGATTTCTTACTCTATGATGMTGTTCTCTTGCCACATCAAACTGTCCGCAATCTCCTTTATGTCGAAGATCATTCCTCTGCCACCGCAGTGCAGCAGTACAATGTACACACACTATGTGACCTTCTCCTTTGTACAGCCACAGGCACTGTTGCACTTGGGTGTACTCGCCATCATCTTTGTCACAATCACTACCATGAGATGGTTTCTGCATCCATGTGTGTACAGGATTGTCCCTCC